GCATGCTAGCTTCCTGATGCTACAGAGGCTCATTAATGACAGCAGCTCAACGTTACGCAGAGAATCTGTCAGCACAACTGCTTTAGAGTTTTCTTTGTCACTTGTGTATTTTGTGGAGCTAATAAAAAAACTTCCCGTTAATCTTAAAGAGAAACGCCTTGTTTCTACAGTCGACCATGATGAAATGTAAAGCAGAAGCTTCGGCTCATGTTTGAGTGATGAGCTGCTTCAGTCTCGGCTGCCGTCCTCAATGAGAGGTTTGTGTTGTGAAACCAGGCGGGTCCAGGATGACCCAGCTTCGTCACTTCCTGTCTCCTCAGTGTCCTTCCTGGGCGTGATGTGCAGCAGAGTTTTGCTTAACAAGAACCGGGGCGAGGACGTGATGGGGGAGTGTCCTCTGCCGGCCATCAAGCTGTCTCTGGACTGGATCAGACTGAGACCCAGCGTCTTCCAGGAGCCCGCTGTGGACAAGAGGAAGTAGTAAGTCCAACGTTTGTTTAGTTCACTCAGAGTTGGGAAGTCTGAAGTTTGAACTTCCTGTTTCTGTCTGTCAGCGTGTGGGCGTGGCTGGTGTCCATTCTGAACAGCTTCCAGCCCAAAGAGGACAACGTGTCCTGCTCCTCAGGTAGGACAGCCTCCTGCTGAGGACGTTTAAAAAGAACTGTCAGAACCAGAGGAGCTTCAGCCTGAAGTTCAGAAGCTTCTAAAGAGTTCTCCTTTCAGGTTCTCATGGACTCATTCAGTTTTTGTCCTGGTCCTCTGCAGGGACGCCGCTCCCAGAAGAGTTCGAGCTCCAGGGTTTTTTGGCTCTGCGACCCGCTCTGAGGTACCGACCCACTGCGGTTCACTCAGAACTCTAACTGTTCGGTGCCTGACGTCTGCCTGTGTTTCAGGTGTCTGGACTTCACTAAAGGCCATCAGGGGATCCTGGTGGACCGGGACGGGCTGCCGGTCCATGCCCGGCATCAGAGGCTCGTCGGTCTGGGGAAATGGGTGGCCGACACCCAGCCGAGGTGAGTTTGGGTCGCCTGGCTCTGGTTCTGTGAAAACTTGTTTAAGAACTGAAATATTTTCATGTTGGACTCGTCCCTGCAGGCTGATCCGGTGCCAGGTCAGCGAGGACGGCCTCCTCATCTTCATCACGGACATCCCAGAGGAGGCCATCGAAGAGCCGCAGGACAAGGAGGCACCGGTCCTGCAGGAGTCCTCCAATGGGGAGCAGACCCAGAGTGACTGCGGCAGCTCGGGCCTGAAGTCGGTTCTGTCCGCAGGGAAGAGCCCGAGCTCGTGGTCCGACTGCAGCGAGCGGCCCGTCGTCACCTTCAAGGAGAACATCAAGCCCAGAGACAGCCGCGAGCCCGCCCGGAACCACCTGCCGAAGGATGCAAGCAAGGAGCGCAGGGACGTCCTGAAAGCATCCGGACCTGCCGGCGCCGGGAAAGGAGAGCTGAAGAAAGACGGGAAGAGGAAGACTGAGATGAAGAAGAGCGGTCCGGAGAAAACCCTGGACCCTGGAAAACAGGTCCGGGTCCTGAAGCCCACCCTGATACTGCAGAGTTCTGCTGGACGGGTCGTAATGTTCTGTTTGTGTTCAGGTGAATGTCCAGACGGAGCTGAGGAAGACTCCAGTCTCTGAGGTGAAGAAGACTCCAGGGACTCAGACCACCGGCTCGTCCCAGTTCATCCCCATCCACCACCCCGGAGCCTTCCCTCCCCTGCCCAGCAGACCCGGTACGTTCAGCTGGTTCTGACAGAAACCGCCGCTTTGATCTCTCAACGTGTTTAAAAAGGTGTAAAGAAAACAAAAGTCCACTTTTAGAACCGGACCTGTGGTTCAGCGGGCGGCTCAGACACACAGAGGTGGTGGAGCCAAAGCTGTCCATCAACTTGAAACTTTTAGAACAGAGGGCGCCGCCCACACCGACATGACGAGCACCTTCCCCAGGCAGGTGACCTCAGAGAACCAGTCACGTTTCCAGAACGTTCAAGTTCTTCAGTTCCATCTTTATCAACACTGATGTCACTGAGCCAAGAGAAGTCTGCCCGACTCTACGTGCACGTCTGTCTGTGCATGTTGTGAGCACGAGAGAGGCACGACTTCCAGTGTGGTGTGTGCATGTAGGCGTAATGTTTTTCTGAAACATCGGTTTGTCAGAATCCAAGATGGCTGCTGCCACGTGTTGGTCAAGTTTCCTGAAACGATCGAGGAGAAACTTGAATTCACTTCAGTTCATTTGTACGTCGTCGTCTCAGGAAACTGAACAAACATTCAGTTTCCCTTCAAACCGGATTCCAAAAAAGTTGGGACACTAAACAAACTGTGAATAAAAACTGAATGCAATGATGTGGAGATGGCAAATGTCAATATTTTATTCGTAATATAACATAGATGACAGATCAAAAGTTTAATCTGAGTAAATGTAACATTTTAAAGGAAAAATATGTTGATTCAAAATTTCACAGTGTCAACAAATCCCAAAAAAAGTTGGGACAAGTAGCAATAAGTGGCTGGAAAAAGGAAATTGAGCAAATAACGAACAGCTGGAAGACCAATTAACACTAATTAGGTCATTGACAACATGATTGGGTATAAAAAGAGCTTCTCAGAGTGTCAGTGTCTCTCAGAAGCCAAGATGGTAAGAGGATCACCAATTCCACCATTGTTGCACAGAAAGATAGTGCAGCAATACCAGAATGGTGTTACCCAGCGTAAAATAGCAAAGACTTTTAAGTTATCATCATCAACCGTGCATAACATCATCAAAAGATTCAGAGAATCTGGAACAATCGCTGTGCGTAAGGGTCAAGGCCGTAAAACTCTACTGGATGCTCGTGATCTCCGGGCCCTTAAACGTCACTACACCTCAAACAGGAATGCCACTGTCAAGGAAATAACAGAATGGGCTCAGGAATACTTCCAGAAAGCATTGTCAGTGAACACAATCCACCGTGCCATCCGCCGTTGCCAGCTGAAACTCTACAGTGCAAAGAGGAAGCCATTTCTAAGCAAGCTCCACAAGCTCAGACGTTTGCACTGGGCCAGGGGTCATTTAAAATGGAGTGTGGCAAAATGGAAGACTGTTCTGTGGTCAGATGAGTCACCATTTGAAGTTCTTTATGGAACACTGGGACGCCATGTCATCCGGACCAGAGAGGACAAGGATAGCCCAAGTTGTTATCAACGCTCCGTTCAGAAGCCTGCATCACTGATGGTATGGGGTTGCATGAGCGCTTGTGGCATGGGCAGCTTGCATGTCTGGAAAGGCACCATGAATGCAGAGAACTATGTTCAGGTTCTAGAACAACATATGCTCCCATCTAGACGTCATCTCTTTCAGGGAAGACCCTACATTTTTCAACACCATAATGCCAGACCACATTCCCAGACAAGTCCATTTTCCCACACAGTGGGAAAAATGGACTTGTCCCAACTTTTTGGGATTTGTTGACGCCATGAAATTTGGAAACAACAGCTTTTTCCCTTAAAATGAAACATTCTCTCAGTTTAAACTTTTGATCTGTGATTTGTGTTCTATTCTGAATAAAATATTAGATGTTGGCACCTCCACATCGTTGCATTCAGTTTTTATTGACAATTTGTTCAGTGTCCCAACTTTTTTGGAATCCAGTTTGTATGATTTAAACCATTTTAGAGCTGTTCCTGTAATCCCAGCATCATATTCAAGCCTCTGTAGTAAAATATTGTGATCAACTGTATCAAATGCAGCACTGAGGTCTAACAGGACCAGTAGAGACACAAGTCCATTGTCTGAGGCCATGAGAATATCATTAGTGACTTTTACTAGTGCTGTTTCTGTGCTATGATGAGCTCTAAACCCTGACTGAAACTCTTCAAACAGATTATTTCTTTGTAGATGTTCACACAACTGACCTGCAACTACTTTCTCTAGAATTGAGATGAAAGTTAGATTAGATATAGATCTATAGTTGATGAAAGTTAGATTAGATATAGATCTATAGTTGGCCAGGATTTCTGAATCAAGGTTATGTTTCCTAAGTAAAGGTTTAATTACAGCAACCTTAAAGCGCTGTGGTACATAACTGTTTATTAGAGACAAATTAATCAGATCCAAGACGTGATTATTAATTAAGGGAAATGGGGCCAGCCCCCCCCCCCCCCTTCCTGGATTTGTATCTCCTCCACTTGAACATTAAAAACATTTAGGTTTACTTCATTTTTCGATTCTTCTTAAAGTTTTCATGGTCTTTGCAGGAGATGAACAAAGAATAAAGTTCTGGTTCTGGTGGCAGAGCTTCACACCAGGTCCAATTCTGCTCCTCTGCAGGTTTCCCTCCTTCAGCCTATGTGATCCAGTCCCCGGTGGCCTTCCCAGGTCTTCAGGTGAATCCAGGGTTCACCTTCTCCACAGGGGTCGCCGTTCCCGGACCTTTCCTGCAGGCGGGGGCCCAGGTCCAAGGCGGGAAGCAGTCTCATATTCCCTACAGTCAGCAGAGACCTTCTGGACCAGGATCCTCGGGCCCGGGGCTCATGAACCAGGTGCCCTCCCAAGCCCAGCAGCAGCCAGGTCAGCTTCAGGTCCAGGTCCAACAGTCACCCACAAAACCGGTCCAGCCGGTCGGGATGGGAAAGAGTCCTCCTCACCACCCGGGTCTGCAGCAGGTAGGTCACATGATCTGGACCTTCAACCGCTGCCTTCAGGGCCCGGGTTGCTCTGTGAACCTGACCGCTTCAGTTCTGGATCCCAGCTGTCTCCTGTTTCTGTCCGCAGCAGTTCATGCAGGTCCAGGATCAGCCGGCTCAGATGTGGACCCAGGCCCAGGCGGCCCTGCAGAAGATGTCCCCCCTGCAGATGTCCATGAAGCAGCCCCAGCAGCAGTTCTACATGGGGACCCAGGACCCCCTGAAGCTGTACGAACAGCAGCTGCAGCCTCCGGTCTCCAGTATGGACAAGAAGATGAAGTTCCCCGACGTCAAGGTGCCAGACTTCTACTGGGACTCCTACGTGATGGGGGACAGTCTGGCCCTGATGGCTGAGAGGATGAAGAGGCCCCTGCAGGGTGGGGTCTGTGCCGAGCAGGAGAGCCCCGTGGGGCCCCGTGGACCCACGTTTGAGGTGAGCTGAGTGGACTTGGTTCTGTCCCGTCTGTTCTTCTGCAGCTTGGTCCCCCCTGCTGGTCGGTTTAGGTAGACCTGGTCAGACCACCGCGGGTCTGGACCTTTGGTTGGTGCTGGAGCTGAGCCTGATGGTTCTTGTCTTGGTAGCTTCAGTGGAACCTTCTCACTGGCTTCCCTTCTTTCTTTTTTCCTTGTCCTGCGTGTCCCTGCTGCTCCTCCAGGACAACAAGAGCGCTCCTCTTCTGCCTCCTGACCTGCTCAAAACTCTGGCAGAGTTCGAGGAGGACGAGGAGCTCGTCTTTGCTAAGCCTCCTGATTTCTTCCAGGCCTTGGCCGGCCCTCTTAGCTCTGCTGCTGGACCCAGTCTGTTTGTATGTAGCTCTGCCTTCCTCATCCTCATCCTCATCTGCCCCTCCCCCCCCTCCCCAGCTCTCTGCCCCCCCCCCCCCCCCCGTTCATAGCTGCTGCTTCAAATTCAGATTAATTCATTTACAGAGTTCCTCAGAGCCTGAAGCAGAAATGTAGTCAGAGGAGCCATCTTTGTTTACTTTATCTAATTAAATCCATAATGACCATAATGTCATTAATAATAATAATGAACATATTAATAATAATCAATGATCATAATAAATTAATAATAATCAATAATGATAATATAAGTATTAATAACCAATAATGACAATACAATAAATAATAATCAATAATGATCATAATATAATTAATAATCAAAAATGACATTTATTAATAATAATAATGATCTTAATATAATTAATAATCAATAATGACAATACAATAAATAATAATCAATAATGATATTAATAATAATTAATAATGACCCGGTCCAGAGTCGGTTAAAAGGCAGTTTAAAAAATGTTTTTCTGTTTTCGTCATTCTACACCGGGTGTTGGTTCTGAACCCGATTTGTCCTCAGAACCGACTGGATCACACATTCTGAGCCCCAGTCCCTCTGAGCCGACCCGTTTGTCACACGTGGCCCACCAGGTTCTGATAGCAGACCAAAGGCACGTGTTAGTCTGCCTGCAGGTCCGGGCGTCCCCTCGCTGGTCTCAGTGGGATCTGCCTGGTTCAGTAAAGCTTCATAAATAAACAAATGATGAACTTGATCAAATAAAGATTTAACAACATGTCACAATTTATTTGCTTTTACTTCAAACAAAACATCATTTTTAAGCTGCCTGGATCTGATCCCGGATCTGCTCCCATGCCTGAGAGTCTTTGGGCCAACATTAGACCCAAGACCAGAGTCCGGTTTTAGTTCTGAACCGCTCCGATCTCATCTCTGCAGCTGCCAAACCAGACGAGGATGGAGAGCGGCTCCGAGGGCGTCGGCCCATCGTCTTCTCTGCTGCCGATGACCGGGTTCCCCATGCAGGTCAGAACCTGGATCTGGACCTAAAGAACCGCCCTGTACCTGTGAGGGGTTAACATTTCCTCTGTGTTTCCAGGAGTACAACCAGAACAGCATCTTCAGTCAGGCTTACGGGAAGAACCTGCCCCCCAGCTCCAAACCTGACGCTCCCATGATGCAGCAGGAGCCGTCCCTCTACTCCCTGTTCGAGGGGACTCCGTGGTCCCCCTCCCTCCCCGCCAGCTCAGGTATGTCTCACCTGTGCAGGTGTTGTTTAAAGGTTTCAAGGTGGATCGTGTTTCCAATGAAGTCTGTGCTCTGATTGACAGACCACTCCACCCCAGCCAGCCAGTCCCCCCACTCCTCCAACCCCAGCAGCCTGCCCTCGTCCCCGCCCACGCACAACCATGGAACCATGCCCTTCTCAAACTTTGGACCCATTGGGACTCCGGACAGCCGGGACCGTAGGGTGGTGGACCGCTGGAAGGCTGAGAAGCCCGGTGAGTCAGAGACGTTTGGATCGTCTGACGCTGCTACAGCTTTGCCTCAGACATGAGGTCCTCACCGAGCGGGTTGCTGCGTGGTTGGATGTTTGTTGGGCAGTTGGATGTTTGTTGGGCAGTTGGATGTTTGCTGTGTGGTTGGATGTCTGGTTGATGGTTGGATGTCTGGTTGATGGTTGGATGTCTGGTTGATGGTTGGATGTCTCTCGACCTTTGACCTCTCTAAGTGTCTTTAAGAATCCGTTGGACTCCTGACAGGGACCAACGCAGACATGTTCCCGTTTTTAGTTTTATACATTCGTCTTAGAATCTAGCTGTTTTTTTTTCTCTGTTAATATCGTGCACAGTTCCCAGTCTCTGTTAATATCGTGCACAGTTCCCAGTCTCTGTTAATATCGTGCACAGTTCCCAGTCTCAGGTCAGGCTCCAGGGTCAATGCATAGTCGGTGTTTTCCCTACCGTTATAAAAGCGGGGTTCCCCGCCGCGTCAACTGAACTGCGTGCACCCCCGCCCCACCCACATGCACTGACGTAGCTCCAAGTTAGCAGCGCGCTAGCTAAAAAGCTAAAGAAAACATCTTCCCTCACGCTGACCGGCTCAGATGGCGCTCGTCTCAGATGGCGCTCGGCTCAGATGGCGCTCGGCTCAGATGGCGCTCG